AAGATGTGTTCAAATTTCCAAATGAGCTGAGAACTATTTTCAAGATTGTAGGTTTGAAGGCATTCCCAGATCACTGGAGCTTTATCTGATCATATTCCAATTAAGGCTGCCTTTGGCATAAAGCTTTAAAAACATGGTAAGGGTCATTCCCATTTGGAAAAGGTTCAGTTTGTGTCTTTTTTCCCCTCTTCTTTTTCTTCATCTATCAAAGTGCTTTATCCCCCTCATATTCCCTCCAGCATTGGTGTAGACTTGAAGTCATTGCACGATCCCACCAGTATATGCTATTTACAGTCTGTCGACATCACCAAAGTCAGAGCAGGAGGACAGTAAGGCTTTATTTTACCACCATTCATCAAAGTTCTGACAGACTATTCTGTAGAGAGAGAAGAGCCGTGAGAACTCCGAGTCCCCTCACCAAGCTAAATGTGACTTCCACGGAAGCTCGGGTGTCCTAAAGCTCCCAGGCGAGGAGAATCGACACACGCACAGCCCCGGACAAGACAAACTGTGAACTCACTCACAGAAAAGCTATCTTATCCAGCCTGGTATTCTGACTCTAGAAGGATACCTGTATAGAACCTATGGGACAGAACGACCCCCAAACCCTGCCTGAAATCTGGGATTCCCAATGGAGAATGAAGAATGTGCATATCCAAAGATCTGAGAGCCTTTGCAAACCACACCTGTCCAGACACAGGTTTTTAATTTTTTTTTCCCTCTAGGGAGAATTGGAATCTAGAGAAAGGGACTGTGGGCGGCCTTATAAAAGCTCCCACAGGACTTTCATACTCCGGGGAGCACCAGCACCTACCCATGAACTTGTGCGCATACTTAGACACACACATTCGCCCCCTGCTTAAAACAAATGCCCTGAGGAATTCTAATAAATTATCCATTCAACCCTCTGAACAACCTGAGAACCTATTCATAGTCCTCCTACCCTTCTTTTTCTAGGGACTAGAATGCCAGTTGCATGTCAAGTATACAGTAATCAAAGGGCATCTGGAAACTTCAGAGGCTTTGTCCTTCTGAATAGTGGAGCTCTCCAAATACCAAAAGATCTCCTCATGTAAGCACCAAGCCTTGCCCCCACCCCCACAAGGTAACATGTCAGCAGTTTTAAACATGAAACTCTGAAATTTTATTACATGTATTCAGTTTCCTGAATATCATCTAACCTCACCTTCTAATTCAAGGCTCTTATCATAAGCACCAATTTCCGTACCGGGGCTAGAAGAGGGGAAAAAAATAAATAAACTCCCTCTAGAAGAGGGAGTTTATTCCTGAAGGCTGCAGAGACAGCCACATGGCTGCTGAAGGCAAGTGGAAAGTCAGAGAACAAGCCAAAAATGGGACTCCAAATAAAGACACCACAGCAGACGTCAGGAGCCAGGTGGGATGCCATAGCTGTCAGGGCTGGGTTAGCTATAAACAGGGTAAGAAATGGAAAAAGTGCCCGCAGCAAGCACCATGTTCATTCAATGATCTGATTTTCGGGGCCAGTATCATCGAGGTATGTGGGCAAAATTCCAAGTCTGAAGGATCATCTGCTTCTGCCAAAGCATCCACCCCCAGCCCTCCCCTTCTAATTCAGCCCTTCTGATTTCTTGTGGTCCTAGAGACGACACCCCTGGTCACAAGTGAATAAAGGGCCAAAGGCTGCCTTTCCACAAACTCAGCTGTGTGTGTGCTTTGTGTCTTCTGTGACAGTGGTCAGGGGTCTCTGACTTACTTCCTAGCCGTGTTTCAGGAGGTGAGACTGATGCCTCGTTGAGCTCTCCATAGATGAGGAATTGTTTCCTTCCTTCCTTGCCCTCTAAAAGCACCTCCTTCCAGTTCCTGTGTTCAGGGACAGTGAACAAGCCCATGCTCACCCTCTTCACACAACATGCTTCCATCTTGCGCTGTTCCTCTTCCAACTAGGGACTCTGATCTGTGCAGATCTTACTGCTCCAGTGATGGGAAAGCCCGTGTGGCAGTAACCTCCCAGAAGGTACACAGCCACTAAGAAGTCACTGAGGAAGAATTTACTAAAGGTCCTCTAAATGACCAGCCTCGAGGGACACATCCCTTCCTGGCGATGAGATGGTCTCTGAGAGTAAGGCAAGTGCTCAAGTTAATTCTGCCCTTACCAGAGGCCGCCCCTTGGAGCATAGGGTCAGGGGCCTAAGAGTAACAGTGACTTGGCAGCTTAGCTTAGAGGCAACAAGATGTAAGAGATCCTGCCTTCAACTGATTGAAGTCAGACTACTGAAATGGAGCCAGGGAGGATAATCCATGATGCTATCCTCCATACACAAGACATGTAAAGGCAATTTTTTTTAAAGATTTTATTCATTAATTTGACAGAGAGAGAGAGAGATCACAAGTAGGCAGAGCAGCAGGCAGAAAGAGAAGGGGAAGCAGGCTCCCTGCTGAGCAGAAAGCCCCCTGCAGGGCTCGATCCCAGGATCCTGAGATCATGACCTGAGAGAGGCTTAACCTACTGAGCCACCCGGGCGCCCCATATAAAGGCAATTTAATTGAGAAAGAAGGAAAGAGAGAACAAGGAATCATGTTTTTGTTTTTATTATTTTTTTAATTACCTTGAATTATCTATCTGGCTACCTTTGCCCTAGCTTCTTTTTCAGAGAACCCAGTCTTTGTTTTCCCTCCAGATACCAATCCACTCTCTGGCTGGTGTGGTTTCTCTTGTTTTCCTTCTCTTCTGGCTGATACCGAGGCAAAGAGGAAGGGAATGCACAAGGTGTAGTGAGAAGCGGGCACCTGGGAGTCACAGCTGAACTGGGGTGGCCACCCTGCCCCTTCCTAGCTGTGTTGATCCTGGCCAAGGGACTTACTTTCTCTTTGACTCAGCATCTTCCTCTGTGAAAAGGAGGAAGAACACAGTAGTCAAAAGAATACCTTCAATGGGCGAATGTGATCAAAAATGTCGAAACTTCCAGTAATAAGATAGATAAGTCCTGGGGGTACAAGGTACAGCATGGGGACTGTAGCCAACCACGCTGTAGCATGTATTGGAAAGTTGCTCAGAGAGTACATCTTGAAAGTCCTCACCACAGGGGGGAAAAATTGTGTAACTATGGGAAGTGATCGATGTAAACTGAACTTACTGTGGTAGACATTTTGCAATACAGACATACGTCAAATCACTACATTGTACCCCTTAAACTAGTATCATGTTATACTGCTATTATATTTCAGTCATTTCTATAAAAGAAAAGAATACCTCATCATGCCAGCCTCGCAGTAGAGCTGGGAGTATTAATGGAGACAGTACTTATAACACGCCTAACAGAGTCTCTGGTACTCAGGAAGCCCATGCTGACGCTATCCTAGGTGACTGGAAGGAATGGCTCCTCACGGTGCTTTCAGAACATGCACCAAGATTTGAGGTCCTCCAAGAAGAGGTCCTTGGGGATTCATTTTAATAAGTAAGAATTAGCTTTCATGAACACACATGTCAACTAGTACTTGAAGACTCTTTTTAGAACTTTTAAAACCTACTCTCTGCAATCTCATACACAACATTTATTAGTGTGGTAATTCCTCATTCTCATAACAAACACAAAGAAAATTCTCATCCAAAGTATCGACGTTTCCAAGTGTTTAGAATCCAGAACAACTAGAAGTTTCTGCTTACAGATGTCAATATCTTTCTTTTCCCCGTTTTTAGTCGTACAGTCACCCATGTCTCCTCCTTAGCATCATGGTTCTCTGGTGTGTTCTTGACCCTTAGTTTCCCTCCAAATACTCTCTCTGGAGGACAAGCTTCTCCCAGTCTCCTCTCACCTCCAGTCTCTCCCAAGCACAATCTACATGGTGCCCTCGACAGGTCCCTTCAAGGCTGTGTTTTTGAATGGGTTGCTCCTCTGTCAAGAATGATCGTCCCTCATCCTGTTTTAACCGATGCTTCTCAAGGCCCTGGTCAGACGTCAACTCCCTGGTGAAATCTCTTCAACTCTGCCCTCTACACACACCGTTCCTATCACCCTACGACACACGGAAGTCACTCGTGCACAGGTCTGCCTCCCTCCTCAGACTCAGGGCTTTTTGAGCAGTGTTTCCAAGTGCATTCGAATCACCCAAAGGTCTTGTGGAAACAGTAGATTCTGCTCTACGTTGTGTGCGTTCTAACTCAGTGAGTCTGGGATGGCACAGGATGTTCTGCATCTCCCTCAGCTTCTAGAAAATGCAATCTACTGCTCTGTAATCCACTTGAGAAGCTTTTAAGAGCCTTTCAGAAATGTCAGTGACTTGGCATTTCTTCTTCATCCTCCTCCTCATCATCATCTTTTTTTTAAAAGATTTTATTTATTTATTTGACAGACAGAGATCACAAGTAGGCGGAGAGGCAGGCAGAGAGAGAGGAAGAGAAGCAGACTCCCTGCCGAGCAGAGAGCCTGATGCAGGCCTTGATCCCAGGACCCTGAGATCATGACCTGAGCTGCAGGCAGAGGCTTTAACCCACTGAGCCACCCAGGTGCCCCGTCATCATCATCTTTTAACACAGGTGCCCAGCACCTGTACTTAGAGAGATGAAAGTGATGTCAGGGCTGCCTGAAATAATGCAGGGCAGAGGCAGACAGGAAATGGAGGTGGGGGGAGCTGGACAGAGAAGGAGGTTAGCGAAGGGGCAGGAGATAGGAAAGGGGACAAAAGAGGGAAAATTATAGGAAGAGAGAGGACAATAGAAAGGCCAACACTGTCTGACTTTCCAGGTTGTGGAGGTGGACTTCTGGGCGCCATCCCTCCCAGGGCGGGTGCCCCAGCCATTTATGCCACCGGAGAAGTGTGCTCAGACCGTCACCACTTCCTTCTAAAGGTTCTTCCTTCCCGACCGATTGAGGAATGAGGTACCGAGAGCAAAGGTATAACAAATGACAGTCTCCCTCATGATTGTGAGTGTCCAGAATGGTTTCTGTCACAACAGCAGAAAGGATTTTACCCTAAGACTTCAAACTAACTGTTCACCAAACAACGTACACGAAAGTTACCTGGTAGAGTTCGATCCGTTGTTCAGGCACTCTGGCTTTCGGGTTCTGTAAACGAAAGACTCTGAACTCGGCTTTCACCAAGTTGGATGCATTCTTCTCCATCGCCGAGACGTCAAAGCGGACGATTCTGAAGTAGGGTCTGTAGAAAGTGGGCGGGATGGCATCTGTAAAAAGGGCAATCATTGAAAATGATAAAATCCATTATTCTCTCAAAAAGGACCCTGCGCACGAGATCGTCTCAAGAAAACATACGGGAAATATCTACAGAAGGATTTCGTTTCCAAGGGCCAATTTAATACCATTAACAATTTAACCAGAGGGGGAAAAACTAAATAAACATGTGCATTTGGTTACCGGAGTCGCAGATTAATAGAGATTAACAAACCACTTCCAACTCCGTTCGAGGGCATGCTGTTAACCCCATCCTTTGAAAGTTGACAGAGCCGTGGAAAATCCTACATGGTTGTGAACTGGAGCAAGCTTGTGACAGTTGATGCCTGGAGAGAGCTGTCGGGCTTACATACACTTTAATCAGATGTGCCAAGAAAATAGCTCCTAATGGCAAGCAGTCTGCCCATGGATTTTTTTTCCTTGAAGTTTTGGCATCCGAATCCTCTGCTCTATCCAGGTTCGTGCATTGCATCTTTTTGGCTTCAATAGTTTGTTTTTTTCACACACATATGACCAAATATACCCTCTAGTTAAGTTAGGGTGAGAAAATTTGAATTAAAAAAAATAATAATAACATCCAAATACGGGTTATCTGGTCTAATGAGGAGAAAGAGAGGAAGAGTCAGCCCCAACGCCTTCAGTTCTAAGCTGAAACACACAGAGGCGGATAGTACACAACAATTTCAAGTTCACGGGATGCTAGAGGTTTGCTGTTATTTTACAGTCATTTGCCACTGCCTTTGAACAAGCACCTGAGCTTCTCCAACAAAACCCAAGCGGGTCCCCATCCCGGACACGCAGTTCAGACACGGCCTCTGTTTATTATGGAGCCTGTACACTGCGCAGGCCACTTGTTCCAGATTTTTCTACAATTCTCCTCCCAGATCTTCTGCAAACTTTCCTTTATTATTCCAGAATGTTCCATCCAAATTGGGTAGCTCCAGTCCTTCCTACCCTCTTCTCAAATGTGTAGCTTCGTTACAACATAATCATTCACAGTTGTTTATGGCTTTTTACAAGTGTTTTTATTACTTCTGCATTATGTTTGTTTATTTTGTTTTCCCCCGTGGAAATTTTAAGAATCTTGAGGGCAGAGACCAGATTTGCCAGGTCTTCCTCCCTACCCCTGCAAAACCCACAACCCTAGGACAGGGCCCCCTGCACACTTGGAATTCACCAACCATCCCCTGTTGGCACAGTTGGTCATCAGTAGGAGTCTTGAAAGACTCAGCCATCTGGCTGTTGGCAAGACTAACTTCTTATTAAATAAACGAGCCATCTTGCCGATCTTAAAATAGAAATAAATACCTTTCATGATTTCTTGGGAAACCCGTGCCCTGACAATGAGACTGGGGAAAAAAAAAAAAAAAGCGAGAACACGCGACCATTTGCTGATCGTAAGAGCTCGGCACTCTTTTCCCTCAAGGGGGCTTACCCCATCCCTCTCCCCGCGTCCTGGGACCCCCAGAAAGCCACTTTTGGGGAAGGGGTGAATTCCCAGCCACGCTCCGCACCATGACTGCCAAACGACCTTGTGAATGGAAGCTTTGTAGCCCGTGAGCCAGGAGTCTCCGAAACAAACAAACAAACAAAATAAAAACCCCCAAAAATCTAAAGCATCCAGGTGTCGGAGAAAAGAAAGTATTCATGCGGACACAGTGATGGTTCAGCGCGCTACAACAGTGAGGGAGTCGGGGGACGGTGTTCAGGCGGACGGACATGCCTACAAGCAACCGGGTTTTCTGGACCCCCAGCGCTGCAATTTGAAAAGGTCACCGCTGGGCTGCTGGGAAGAAATCGATCTTTCTCTCGTCTGGAACATGCCGCCCCCCTCACCCCGGCCAGGTGATTGGACCAGCTGGTCATGGCCTGACCAGCTCAGCCACAAACAGGCGGAGGCCCAGCCCAGAAGCTGGAGCCAGGCTGGAGCCAGGTTCTCCGGCTTCCTACACCCTCCAGGCTGGCCAGAACCTTCCACAGGCCTAGTGGCTGAATTCGTCTTCCCATGCCCCCCCCCACCCCGCCCCATGAGACAGCAGATGCTTCAGACACGCTCTGAAGCAGCATCCGGAGGAGCAAAGCCCATCGGCGCATTTTCCCCTCCACGTTCTGCGGAAGCCCCACAGGCCGGTTCCTCTTCCCCAAACACCCATCGTTCACACCCACCCGCCCCAATTTCATCCCTCCATCGAGTTTGTAAATAAGTGCTCTTGAGATTTATTTTTATTCTCTTTCGTGTTTATTAAACTTGGAGCAATTTTTTCCCCCCTTTCTGGTCTTCTGCCCAAGCTCACTCTCTCTTTTTATGGCTGCTTCGGACCACGAGGTCAATTTTGTTTCTTCTTCTTCTAAGCAAATTGTCCAATGATCCTGTCCGAGGCTTTTGAGCTCTGAAGGGGCGTTTGCAAATATTTACAGGAGCAGCTTGATGGTTAAGTGCAGCTGTTCTGCTCGGCTCCCTATACACTGGCGAACGGCCCTCCGCCCCTCCGGCTCTTAGAACCCCTTCCGCTAGTTCTGTTTCAAGACCTGATAAAACAGATCTGCATGGGGGGGGGGGTCTTGCTTTAGAAGCAGAAGGAGCTCAGACACCAGGAGAGGCCCCCAGAGCAGCCCCCACGAGCAACTCTGCTTTGGTCTCTAACCACAGCGAAGGGACCAGGCCAGGAGGAAGCCGCAGCCTCCCCCACACCCCTGCTCCTGGACACGAGGCCAGGAGATCCCTCGATAAAGACTGTTGACCAGAAAAAACTGACGACTGCTTCCAAGGGCCGGTTGCAGCTGTCCCCTGCTGTCATCTGCTATGGGTCACCAGCCCCCTGCCTGGCGGAGGAACTTGAGTGACTTGGCAAATGTTTCTGCATTGGAGGGCGGGGGAGAAAGAGTCACAGCAAATTTCTCTGGCCTGGGCTGTGACCCTCCCCTTGCCTCATAAAAGCTTCTACAGGCACAGTGTGGGCAGGGCCGACAGCGGGCCATCGACACCCAGCCGGGGGATGGGGCCGGCTCACTCCCCGGGTTCGGGGCGCCAAAGCAGCCGGGTGGGGATGTAATGGCTTATGCAGCCCTAATCCACCCACTTCGCCTTGGAGGGATGGAGCTTTTTCCTCTACCTTCTCCAAGAACTCATTTCCCCCGTTGGAATGGGAGTTCTCCCCGAAGTCCTCTGTAATTCCAATCCCAGCTCCTACTCCCGGGCCAGGTGGTCAGGTACTTGGGCTTGACCTCTTCCAGCTTACCCACACTCACATCCTGGTTGGCTCCTGCCTCTCCATTTCTGACCCACTTTTTTTTTTTTTTTTTGGTTCAATCAAATTGATTTTCCTGCAACCCTTTGGATCAGACCACCAGGCTGATTCTCTGCCTCCTCCCGTGCTCTCTCCCGCGGGCCTGCTTCTCAGGGAAAATCTTGCACATGGGAGATTCCAGAATGACATCAAGTGAGTGGTGTTTCCCTCGTCTCAACACTGGCCATATCTCCCTGCTGAATCAAATTTGGGGGAATGGACAAGAGGGGGGGAAATGAGGAAATCTAACTAGTTATCACTTTACAAAGTAACAGTGAACAGGAAGACTAATTATGCATTTAATCACAAGCTGCTTATATAAGCAACGTATACTGACTTGTTATCTGTTCCAATGATTTAATAATAGCTTATTATGTATTATCTTCTCCTGAAGTAAACGCCTCCAGTCCAGGAATCTTTACATACAGTTCTTTGATTCATCACAGCCCAGGGCCCGTGGCATGGACGTGTGACCAGGCAGTCACACAGAGTTCCCATGCTCAGAAAAGCGTCATACTCGAGTTTAATGCTCTACAGTTGCCATCTTGAGATCCTTAATAATTTCATCTTTGAATTGAGGCTTTAGAAGGGAAGTCTGATGGGACAAATGAGATGTGCACAGGGGGCGTAAAGGCTTGGCTCGTGAGCTATTCCATCTCTCGTTACCTGCGGGCCTTCCTAAGATCGGTCCTCAGCCCACTAGCCCTCACCCCTCTAGGGCCCCCAGCCTCCCCTAGGAGAGTCGGGGTCAGGCACACACCATTGAACCCTCTCAGGGCAGCCCAGCAGCCGTTTCCACCTGAGGCTCACAGCATTGCCATGCATTCGGAGGGTAACTCTCGCCCACTGTGACCCAGGTTACCAAGCACCCTGCAGGTTTGCAATCCTATGGGCTGGAGTGGCGGTCCGGAGAGGCCAGGCTCAACATGGCATCAGTCTGGTGGCTGGAAGCAGCAGGCGCCCAGCTGCACAGTCCCAGGGTAGAGGGCAGAGCCCTGGGGGCTACGCGTCTGCTCCTGCTCTGGGAGCGTCCCCGTACCCATGGGAGCACGACATCAAGGGGCCCATGACATCACCACAACGGGTCAAGAGAGAGGAGAGAGAAAGGGATCACGGAGCCAAGGAAGAAGCTTTGTATTTTAGAATCTTGGACAGCACATGTTCCCTGCTTTCTAAACAAGAGGCCCCACATTTTCATTTGGAAAAGCATCCACACAGTTTTAGAGCCAGCCTCACCCCGGTGAAAGCTACAGGATCTTAATGCCATGTGGGACCTTCAAGGCCATCTGAATTTTAATCCCAAATCATCCGGTGCTAGCTAATGGCAATGGGGACATTATTGGGCTTTTCGGAGCCTGCTTCTCCATCTATGCAATGATTTAAATAATTCCCTATCTGATATGCATTGAGTCATGTGATCAGGATGCATAACGAAGCAGATGGAACATTGGAGCCCTGGTCTGGCACTAATTTCCCCACAGAAACGTCCCTTCCTATCCCCCTCCTCATTCTGCAGCAAAGCTGCCACGTGCTCCTCAGGGCTTCCTTGAATACCCCGGGGGAGAGAAAACTCTCCTACTGCCTACTAAATTAGAAGCGGAGAAGAGAAGGAGCAGGAGTGGCTAAGTGGACTGGGGCAGTTTAAAACGACTCTACTCTGAGTCCCTAGGAGTCAACCTAAGTTTCCTCAGAATCCCTGCCGCCCG